GCGGCCAAGAGGCGAGACCCAATTTCCAGCCAAGGGTGCACGCAGTCACGCCACCGTGAGACGGCGTGGGGCTCAGCTTATCGCGAATACCACCCTCTGCACTCATCTCTTCCCCCCCCCTCCCTTCATGGCTTGGCTATAAAAACTGTTCATTTGTTGTCGCATTCTCAGAGTCTCTGATGGTGACCTCCTGTACGAGACCGAAAGCTCAGACCTGTCCCAGAGATCGTTTGTTCATCTTTTTTCCAAGATGAATTATTTCGAATCAGCCATAACACCTATTAATCAAAATGAAATCTTAAAAATTTGTCAAAACACCTGTTGATTACGTGAGCGTGGTAGTCACCTGGTGGATTCTAGATGGATTTCTTAGAAAATTTTTCTTGGTGTGTCAGATAATGTGAGTTCCATGTGTTGCAGTAGGCTAAACGGATAAATTGACCCAAATTTGCTCAAAATATCGGCACTCGATAGGGCCTCGTAGCACAGGTACCTAGAGCGTTGGCTGTTCTAAGACTTTCCTTTGCCGTCGTGAGTTCGAATCCCACCGAGGTCGCCGACTTTATCACAGATATGTCAAAAGGAATTACTCAGAATTTGCCGAAACACTCATTAATATTTTGATTTATGAGGACATCGAGATTCAGTGGGAAAAAGGTAGTCATTTTCGCATGTGCCCGTAAGTAAATTGATTTAAAACCCGCTGACCTGACGTGATCGACATATCTTAGGACTATGCTGCATAATAATCAAACGTACGGCCCCACCAACGTAACCCTTTCTAATCGAATGCGCATATTTTAGAATTTCGGTTAACATTTAATGTGGCAAGATTTGCAGATTTTGTATAATGCAAGCCCACTGGTCGTGCCTCAAAGGAGTTTTATTTCTATACCCTTGAATCACAGAATTCCATTTTTGAAATAACAGTTTTGACGAAGGAGACACTTTCCAAAACTCATCATCACAGACAAGTGTCCTGTCACTCACTCCATGGAAAAGGCAGAGGCCAGTACCAAAATGCAGGAAGGTGTATTAATCAAACGAAAAAAAGGACGGTTAGAAATGGAAATAGGAAAATCCGATCGCCAGAAACTATCTAACACCAAACGGACATTTCTTGATAGTAAACAGAGATACATTTCACAGATGGAAGAGAATATGTGCATTCCAGGTTCTTGTTTAAAAGAAGAGGATGGCACGATCACTGGGACGGTAGATTTATTGGCCTTTGCTTTCGAACTCGAACTGGAGATCGGCATCAGAGACTGCTGGAGTGCAGCAACGTGTGAAAATTTGTATCGTTGTGCTGTGATGGGGGAG